AGTCATCGTTTATTGTCGAAAGATACGTGTTGAAATAAAATGTATCGTTGTTTTTAATAAAAAATTCTGTTTTCTTGCTTTCAAGATAATATAGTTTAAATTATTTATGAATATTTGTTTATGTGTTTTCATTCGTCGTATTTATGTGTTGAACTCACAGTGAAAATTAGTGAAAATTAGTGAAAAATGACAGAAAAAAGTGATAATAAAGACTAATAATGAAAGGTGACAGTGATAGGTGACAGTGAAGTTTCTTGAGAGTTTTTTCAGAGTTTCTATTATTTATGAGAACAGTAGGGATCGGTGGATTGGCCCAGTGACAGAGATGCATTTTCATCGTGATTATTTGCGGTTCAATGGGTGAGTTACATTTAAATTTATTAATTATTCAATTCAAATTTTTATTTGTTGAATAGAAAAGTTATTTAATTTTTTAAAAATGAGAATTTGTTCTTTTTCATCATCACAATATCGAACGAAAATAACGGATAAATATTTTATAAAGTAAATATTTTATCCGTTATTTCTTTGCCATAACGAATAAACGTATCGAATAAATTCGATTTATTCTGATTACGTGAGCAGGGACTGATTTCGTTATTTCTTATTCAGGAATGAATGGTAATTCAAGAATAATCCAGATTTTTTATTCATTATTCGATGTAACTTTCATCTAACAGCTTTCTATTATACCGACGTTATACCGACGTTATACCGGCATTATACCGACGCGGTATCGATACATTTATTCACAACGACGATCGGCCGTCACACTCGAAGCTTTTGCTCACGCTTTCGCGCACCCGGTCTATGCGCGTTCTCATGTTTTTTGCTAATAACTCGAAAATGGAGCCTCAAACAATATTTTGGCAAAGGAAAAAGTTGTTCAGAATCGCCCCACCTACCACCCCTTTTCGGGTCCTACACTAATTGCGGGACACCCTGTATAGTTACAAAATACGCTAATATTAATAGAAATAAATTTACCGACGAAGATAATTCTATGGATCAGAAGAACGTAAAAATGTCATAGCCAACACTCCTGTGGCTTTTGTTCTAAGTTTTTCATTAGTAATTCAAAAACTAAGCTCTAAGAAACATTTCGGTAAAGGAAAAACTTTACTTTAACTATCAACCCTTTTAACCAGTTAAGTGCGTTCGACGTGTATACACGTCGGACCAAATCTCTATTGCGGTGCGTTTGAACAACGTATTCAGAAACGAATTGTTAGTTTTTTTGACAAATAAAAATATAATCCTTCCTCATTTTTCGAAAAAGGTATAATAGTACCATTTGCTTTGCGTTTGACGTGTATACATGTCGTTGCTTGTTTTTAATTCTACACCCTGTGGTGATCTTTCGAAACTAAATTCCACACTTTACTGGTTAATATAATATTTATCTGTAGCTGAATATCTTCTAGATCCAAAAAGGCATCTTAGCGGACATCTTTGTTTGAACAAAGGTGTGCAGGAAATGCTGTCACGCTTTAGAGCATGTCACTAAAGTAAATATAGTAAATTAACCCAGAGAAAGTCTGTAATTAGTAATAACATTTAGCTTTCGACCACAACGATAGATCACTGCTATGGTGTTGTTAATTTTAGTCGATTCTTTTTTTAGGAAATCTAAAATAACCTGATCTTTCTTACAATGCTTAATAAACAACGTTGACCTCAAGTGTAATATCATCTGGTCCGGTTCAGTATCGCGAGGTGACTCAGCTAGTACATTTATGGAATGTAAACAATAAAAATCTGAAGAATTGTACGAGGTAGTTTTCTAAATGTGTGTGTATATTCCTATATTTAACTTAATGAGACAGTAAAAGTTTGTGTGTGAATCAGTGAAAGCATTCGAACACAAAAATAACTGAGCAACTAACTAAAGATAATATATGTAACATTTAATAAAAAATGAATTTTTGTCTTGCAGTAATTAGGAAAATATCACGTTGACCGATACCTGACTTCATAATTATGATTTCGACTGGTCGATAGTTGCTAACAGAATTCTGACGAAGTATGTCTAAAAAAAGACATTCACCCATAAAAAAATTGTGTCGCGGTGATTAACATTCTACTGGAAATGGATAAGCTTAGTTAAAATTAAATATTTGATTAGTTTGAAAAAAGTTGAGGAAAAAGGAGAAGAACTGCCCTTGTCAAACGCTCGTTCTTAGGATAAGTCTGACCTGATCCTTATCCACCTAATAATTCTACAGTAATAAAACATAAAGCACACTGGATCTTGAAAAACATGCTAAATGGAAGAAATTTTTAGGTACAAATTGCATGCAGTAAACAGCTGCAAAGGGCAGCTATTGATATAAGTTTACATATAAGTGTTAAAAATAGACACGATCGTTTTATTATTTTAATGCGCTGCATGTATATGTATATGAATAGATTTAAAATGAAATGCTTGACACTACTTGCCAGTATGTAAATTTGAATGTGATAAAAAAATAAAGTGATGTATTTTGATTAATTTTAATACTCTATATGTATAAAAACCATAAAACTCTCTTATTAAAAGTTTCAATTATCTTCGTTGGTTTTTAAAATGGTACTTGTGGGTTGAAGCTTTGAGAGGCGATTTTACGTCTCAAAGTTGTGTCTCAGTTAATAAAAAAATACTTGTCACTTATTTTTGTTTATCTAACAATTCTACGAAGTTTCATCGAAATTTGAGGGAGATACTTTCGTGCGTTTCTTCATTAGTGGATTACAGTAGATACTGCGTTAAAGAGGAAAATCAATGAAAATGGTTAATAGTGCAAATGGATTGTCAATTTGACATTTAAAATAAGTGAAATAGAAAACAAAATTGTAAAGTGCCAATTTTCTTGCAATAAATGGTTTGAAAGGTTGTTGAACATAAAATGCGAATATTCAAGGTTCGTGAATAGGGGTGCATTATTTTTAACAGACATGAAGGTTCGATAGCAGGTTCTCATATTTTTAATGTATTTTAATTTTTAATTTAAAAATGTTCAAATTCCTAGCTTTCATTTTCAATCCTGTTCTTCAATTTTTCAATTTCTAAATTTCCAAATTTCTAACTGTCCCAATTTCCCAAAGTTCCAAATTCACTAATTTGAACAGTTTTGGACAACGCGAAGACCATAAATGTAAATTATGGTTAAGCCACGCAACTTCTACTAGTTAAAATTTTTAATACAATCTGAGTACAGTAAAGACTGGATAACTGCGACAAACGATGGACTGGATAACTAGCAACGTTACTATTCCCACCACTTACAATTAGTCACACCTCCTTCGAAATAAGGTAGATCCACCCTTGCTGACTTTTCATCGCAATCATTTAGGAAGATGTCCTGGACCTTGTTATCAAGATCGGATTCTTATTGAGTTGGGACGATCGTTACAGTACCACGGTTAATTGTTACTTTCACCAACCCTAGAAAGTCTACACCGATTAAAACATCATACTTTTACAGCACTTCCAACTACTTTAAACATTTATTTAATGGGACAATATTTAAATATTTTATTGAATCTTTTAAAAGACGTCTTTTACAATTCAAGGATGGCAAAGGGCTGGTAACAAATCAATTGAACATTAACGGCATTCATACATTTCCAGCGATGATTCGTCTCCACTTGCAATACCTTCATTCACTCCATTCACACTTCAAGAAATTATAATAAACATATAACGGGTCTTACAAATAATATTAAACCAATAAATGCCTACATTTTAATACTGTGTCCGACACTACATGGACCGTGACATCGTATGAGTAACCGTCGACTACGAGTTTTCCTATAAATTTCCCTAACGTCTTATAAACAGATCCGCCTACACCTTAAAACACTAATTCACTCGCCAATAATCGCGGTGCGCCAATTTTAACATAACACATCGCCGTCATAGTAGTTAAATCGCTACCCGTATCGACCAACGCCGGCATATTGTGATCGTTTAACCTCACCATTTTGCAACTCTTCTCTGTTGTCGGTAGTTCTACATAATTCGTACTCCGGGTTGCTTGCCTTTCATCGTGCTTGTTACACTCTGGAGCGATATGTCTATATCCGCTGCAATGATAGCATTTAACCCCGAGTTCTTTTGCGGGGCAGTTCCTGCTAATATGCCCTGCTCCTCCACAGTTAAAGCACCTATCCGATCCTCTCCTTGGCGCCCATTCGTCGACTCTTCTGACTCCTGTAGTACTTGCCATCGCCGCAGCCACAGGTTTTGGATGATTTATTCGTACGCCACCAACCTAGTTCCCTGATGGTAGTGAAAGCTTCTCGAACGCTCGCAATAACGCATCCGGGATATAAAGCATGGTTCCTTGCTTGGTTCCAGAGCATAGGATCTGGGATCCCTTCGACCAGATACTCAACAAGCTCGATCTGGTCCTCCACCGGCACCCTGTTTGCTTTAATAATCTTATCATAAAAATATTCGTCAAACGGCTCACCCCTTTTTCAAGTCTGCTCCTGCAACTGTTGGCGCACTGCAACCATGCTCGGCCTATGATGGAACATCTCTTTGAACCGGTCAAGCAGCTGTTTAACGTTCATTTCAATGAATTTTGGACGAGACTGCATCCATTCCTGAGCCTTTCCTTGCAGTCTCATTTCTGTCAGAACCTTCACCTCTTCGTCCTCAAGCCGGTACGTTGCCTGCAGCATCTGTATTTGCTTGGCCCAGCTTGGAAAATCTTCCGATTTCCCGTCGAAGAATTTTAGCAGCTCTGCGACGGTTGCCACCCCTATCCGACTGCTACGCACTGCCACCTACTCTCCTGTAACACTCGGACGCTCCATTCTTACCATTTCAAGTTCACGCCGTGTAACTGCTAGCTCGCGTTTCATCAGAGCATTTTCTCATCACAAAAGATCAATTTCGAAATGACTTCTTTCAAGTTCTTCATCATTCCTCATTGTCAAAGGAGCGCTTACACCACCAATTGCTCCTTCTTTTTCTTCCGTGACGAACACGCTTTCATTGCTTGGATCGCTCTCCTTGTTCGAAGCACTCATTCAACGATCCGACGGATCGTGTTCGTGTAACCGCGCTATTAGCTCGGTCTTATTGTTAGTTCCTGATGTATTTAGCCCGTAAGCTCGCAGCATGTCCTTCAATTCTGAGACAGTATGTCCTCCTGCTTCTTTAGCTGGCATATTTCGTCCTTATTTTAAAATGCTCGACTCTTTGCACACACCAACAATGCAAATAACTACTCAATCTTTTCGGATCCTTTTCTTTTTTCTTTTCTTTCACAAAATTGTAGAAATTAAGATGGAATGAATGGTATTGCACTGTTTTGTATTGGATTTTTGCGAAACACTTTTTATTATTTATCAGAAACTTTAACACTTTTAAAAGAAGGAAATAAAAACCAAAAAACTAACAATAACTAAAGGAACAAACTTTACTTAATACTGTTTAAAAAAAACACCGAACTTCTAAAATGCCTTTTCCGCCTTTATTTCGCCTATTTCCAAAATGTCCTACTTTCGCCGCGGTCTCTAATCACCAACGCTCCTTTTTTATGTTTGCCTTTCTTCAAAAAACATGGATCAATACTCGCTTGCTTTACAACGCCTTGAAACGTCGGTAACTTTTATAACAATTTACAACATTTATTACCGACCTTCGGTCACTTTCTCATTCTTTCCCATTCCCGCAGAAAGTTACTAGGCTTTACTTAATGCCCACTGAAAAAACACTATACGATTACGGACATCACTTCTACGAAGTGCTTAATGTAATGATACATAATAAGGGTGAAAATGGTGACGATGGAGTATACGTAAAATACTTGACTGTGAGATATGCTACGCTCATGTGTCATTTGACGGGAACTCATCTGCGGATTATTTGCTACTGTACCTAAAAATATACGTTTGATTTGTCAAAAGTACAATGGCGTAGCATATTATAAAAGACTTGACTGTAATTCTCGAATTCACAGTTCTAAACCTCTAAAACCTTAACCCATTAAACTTAACCAATTATTCTGAAATTATGACACCTTGAATTCCAAATACGTGAACAGTAGAACCAGTAAATTTAAAAAGTATTCTAGTTAAAATTTCAGGTTGTATAGGTTATGCTTAATGGGTTTAACACTTTAGAGGTTTAAGGTTTAGAGGTTAGAATTTTAAATTCGAGAGTTCTAGTTAAGTTTTTTACAATATTATAGTAAAAAGTGATGTTTTATCGAGTTTTACTATTTTCTCGAGTTTCTTGATCAGATAATGTAAAACCTGCACATTTTAAAGGACGTATGCAGCGTTCATTTTGGAAGTAACATAACCCAGATGAAACAAAACTGTATTCCGATATTCACCGGATTCATCTTGAAATCCTCTGACAGATAGATGTAAACAAATTATATGTTCATTTGCAAAAAATTCATGGTAACCTTGGAAAAACACTTAAAAAAAGAGTTGAGAAATAATTCTAGACGAGACTTTTATAAAATAGTCACGTAGCTGATAAAAACATTTTCGATCGGACTACTAATAACAGAGTAATTTCCACTTGTCGCGATTCGTGATTCATGTTGTTTTATCTTTTACAGTTGTACTTGTTGTGGAAATAGTGTGTGCAAATATATTTATCTATTGATGTGATGGATGTTCAACTTTGACGCACTAGCAGTGCAGGGATTTAATATGTAGATAAAAATAATGTTAAATAGTGACTAATATAGACTAATATAGACTAATTCTAAGGCTAGTGTTGATCGAATAGAACTTCAAGCTGATCTTACTTAAACAGTAATCAACTCACGTTGTATAGGAGGTGTTCACGTCAAAGTGAAATTTTGTACTGTTTAGAAGGTATGGTAACAAAAAAGTTTATATACTGCCCCAAAGAGTCATTTGTTGTTCAATTTCCCACGGACGAGGAAGTTTTGTTAAATATATCAAATGACAACATTGTAAAAGCGTGTGTCCATGCATGAGTTGCATGTGTGCGTGTCCAGTGTATGAAATGTAATTAGCGCCGTACGACGCGTTTCCAGACATTTAAAAAACAGAACATACGAGGCTATTCAGTGTCTGTCCGTTTGCAAATGATGAAACATTGTGTGTCAAATTAATTAAATCATCATACGAGGTGCGATCATTAAATTCCGGGATTGTGTCTACTATGACCAAACGGATCACACGATTGATATACGCTCGCAGAACATAAGAATAACAATATTCCAGACATATGACACGAAGTTTGGAAGCGATATCTTTATTGAATCCTGTGTTATACAAGTTTATGGCAGCATACGCACGCTCTCCTTTGCGAAATCACGATGGACTCCAAATTGGAACAAAGAGACAAAAAAAAAAGAAACATGGAAAATTGTCGTCCTTGTTCACCCTTCGTATTCATCAGATTTGGAACCCTGTTATTTCTTTTTGTTTCCCAAAATGAAATTAAAGATCAAGGGTCGCCGATTTGATACGGTGCGGTGGACGAGATTCAACGCGAATCGCAACAGGTGCTTGACACGCTTCTACAAGAAGACTTCTAGGAATCTTTCCAAAAATGGCAGAGGCTCTGGGATCGGTGCATAGGTGCACAAGGCGACTACTTTGAAGGGAATAGTAGCCAAATTTGAAACAGGTGACTTTATCTACATATACAGGATCAGTCCCGGAACTTAATGATCGCACCTCGTATTACTATTAATCCAAACTCTATTTTCCTTGTCATTCATATAGCATGTTATTCCTATTCAAAATATCATGCCAACCCCGTTTCTAAAAAGTTTCTAGAATACTGATATCTAACTGTGCCTGTTCTTTTGAGTGTGTCAATTTCTCAGATTTTGGAAATTTGTGATATAAATACGCCTAGTCCTTTAATTGCATCGCCTGCTTTCTGAGAACAAATGTCAATTTTTTTTGTGTGAGTGTTTTTCTTTTGAGCGATGTGACATTTCAAATCACTAAATTCTTAGGACATGGGGTCTCTATGTAAAAGTGGTCAAGAAAGTCATTTTTTTTCTTATTGTTTAGAAAGTTACTTTGAAACCTATAGAATACGAAACGCATTGATATTTGGAGTGAATCACAAAGCTATTGTTGTGGGAGCCTAAACCCATCCACTGTTGCATCGATCTGAGACGCGCACGGTGGTATAATGATCGGGGAGGTGTTTATTTAATGTTTGAAGTGCTTCTATACCTGTAACAGAGTTTAGTCAGATATTCTAGAAGAAGTACTTACACGAAATTCCCAAAGTAATGGTAGGTATAAAAATTATTCAACCTCTTTTGCTGAGGTACGCTTAGGCAAAATATTATAAACTTTAAACGCAATTTGCTGAAAGCTTGTTTTTATGATAAAAGTTGAATATTGCTATACACGATTATTCAAAAACTACTCAACTGATCGGACTGAAATGTTGTATACATTTTAAAAGAAGTAATGTCTCCTGGATAAACATCAAAGTAAGTTAAAATCACTAAAATAAAACATTTTTTTACTGCAAAAAAGAGTATAATTTTTCCTTAAAATATTAAACATTTTGTTCTGAAGTCTGTCATTTTTTCAATTTTTAATTTGTTTTCAATATTTTTTGTTCATTCATTTATTGCAGCTATTATATTCATGAGATTTCTTTGCTTGGCTCTTTCAGATAACAAGAACAGACACTAGAGTGTACACCATTTTAGAAGACGCTTTACGATGCTTTTAACGCATCATACTGTACCTCTGCCATTTTGTACTTTATTTAATAAAAAAAAAATGTGAAATGAAGTTGAAGTGTTTAGTAAGTAGTCCTCAAATATTTACAAATACTTATTCATTTTTCATCTCGTTTGCGAAATTGCAAACGTTGTTGAAGGTCATTTTTATTTTGTCAATGAAGTGTAATGTCAGACGGATGAAGTTTGTTAACGTGAAGTGTTTGCAAAGTACATCGTCTGTTAGTTACAGCCGTGTAACGTTTATCGGGTTGTCATCATCAGCTGCTCTTTTGACTTGATTCCGTATTTTGTTACCCGCACTTCCGACTTCTTAGGATACTTTTATAATATTTGAGATGAAAATGTAGTAGTTGAAATTGAGGAATCAAAAATCGTAAGACGCAAATGTAATAAAGAACATCTTAGCCGACAATGGATTTTTGGCAACGTCGAATGTTTATTTATTGAATCAGTTTTGGATGGTTCTTCAGTTACATCATATCGATGGAATTTTTATAATTGTCTTAGAAAAGAACGATATAAACATTTAACTATGAACCACAGACTAAATTACATTGAATAGTTGTATACATATTCGAAACATTGAACATTATCTTCAAATAAAAGACAATAAGGTCACGATATGGAATGTGGATAGAACATTATATCGGTTACATTGTTGAATTTTTGTTTTGGGGGAAATATGATTTCAATGCAACAATAACTGCATTCTTTATTGCATATAATGGCAGACACTTTTCCAATTTTGCTTAATAATAATTGAGACTAAAGTTTATTATCTTATCTTCGGCTTAACCCAAGGCTAATTCAGACATGTGTACGTCCCCGGGAAAATCAAACGGATCCTGTCGATAAATAAAGAAACATGCTAATGCGTATATCTTTTTCTATTCTATTACCGACCGCAAATTACCGACTGCGCCATAAAAATTCGCGTGGTAATGGGATGGGGTAGATCACGCGTGCAACATTGTTTAGAGTAGATCACCGATCGATGGCGCGCGCGTTAGTTAGAAAGAGACAGCAGATATACTTCGAAACAAAGTTATTATAAATTATCATTTAAATATTTATATTATATATATTATTAATTGTTAACCCATTATAAATTGCGTTATATTTTTAGCTATTATTTTATGTATTGTTTATAATTAATTACTTCTTCTAGTGAAACACTTATAATTCGCGTATCTAAAAATCATAAAAACTCCGATTTAAAAAAATTGGTGAAAAACTAATTAATAATAAATCAAAGCGTATTTTTATTAATCAAACCAATACATATTTGCCACTAAATAAAGCGTAATAAAATACTAATACTTTTTAAGCGGGAAATACCCATGATTCTCTGGGTATAAAAGGGCGTGCAGCAGAGGCTGCGAGAGCAGAACAATCTTTGAACTACTACGTGCCGGACCTCTTAGGAAGCGACGAACTGAAGCAGTTTTAACTGGTAACAGCCTACAAGATTCTTAGTTTTGACTGGACAGCGGGTATCAGCCATTTAGATACTCGATCGTTGGGTAGTTCTAGTAACCAGCTAACGCAGGTTCCCCGTTCAAACGGTCTTGTATCTGAAACTCCGTAAGAAGAGTGCTATGCTCAGCCCCAGAAAAAACTAAGACATCAACGAGAGATCTCCAGTCACTCATATATATTTCTTATTTTTCTGAGTTACTAACTCGCCGTCAGATTCTCGGAGTTCGCTCTGGGTAGTTTAGTAGCCTGCGTTAGCTGGCTCCCCATTATTGAGCGGCTTGGTCTCTGAAGCCCGTGTCTTTTGGGTGGCGTTTCAGTAACTTCAATAAATAAATAAAGTCGAGTCATTTTTATTTGCAACCCTGTTGGTCACACGTCAGTCATTTGATTCTTGCATCGTTGGGTAGTTCTAGTAGCCAGCTAATGCAGGATCCCCAATTAAGCGATCAGGTTTTGGGTGCCGATGTGTGCTCTGACAAAAAGGGCCATGAATCTAATTAGTTTAGAGTCAAACAAGGAGTAACTGTTCTACATTTAATACGAATTTTAGAGTTGTTGTAAATAACCGAATATTGTTCTGTCAGTTTTGTTAGGATCTAGATCCATTATAAAATTCGTTATTTTCTTGCATTTTGCGTATATCATTATAAAACCGCGTAATTGAAGTAGTTAACTACCGTTCTGCGATTTGCGACAATAAGTCTATTATACTCCATTTTGCTTATAGAATTCAGTCATACGTACATTTTTATATTCGCTAAAGAAATTGTTAATTATAACTCTCTTTCTCATCATTACTTGAATAAACCTAATTAATGAAAGGTATTAACCTGTAGATTTCACTCTTTAACCACACGCCACCACGATCCCACATTCTTTTAGAATTAGTTATAGTAAAAACGAGTCGCTTAATAGGCAAAAGCCGCTGTTTGCTTCATAAGTGCTGTAAATACCTGGTCTAGTACCAGGGACGTTACACGTGATATTATTTTTGCGAATATATCTAAAACGAAAATCGAGTGGCGATATCACATGAAAATAGAAAATGTTTAGAACAATGATCTTGACACCATATTGCAAAGTCATCGAGATTAGCGAGGAATCGTTGAAGCAAATAATTACCAAATATGTACAGTATATAAACACGATACTTGAAAAATATTGGAAAATATTGACGTCATTTAACTGCCCTTTTGTTTACTTTGACCGTTATTTATATTTGTTGCAAAGTGGTTGTGGAGTATTGAAATTATATCGAGGTTCACTTTATTAACTCTATTTAAATAAATTCACGCACAACCTACAGAAACGTTAAATATGTCAATGATGCTTCAAACGCCGGAAGAGCAAATAATAAAAACAAAATGACCGGAATATTGTTTTAATTGGTCCATAAACGCGACGATATTTCATAATGAATAAAACTTCAGCGAAATGTACTTAATCATTTTATAATGTAACAACTATTTGTACAATTCTGTTTAGGATAATCCGGAGAATAAGTTAGTGTCAAAAACAACTGGCTATTTGTTATTATAAATCTACGAAACGAAATTTGCAATATCTGTTTAAATTTGATTCTAAAAATTTCATAATGAACAAAAAATATTTTAACATTTTTTTTTTAAGTTTTTAGAGCAACATTGCAAACTCCGGCGTTATACGACTCTTAACACGTTGGCTGCCGTGGGGATCACCGGTGACCGGCACTCGACTTGGCTACAGCGCCGTGGGGGCCACCGGTGACCGGCGACGTGACCAATAGTTAAAATACATAAATAGAGTAAATATTGATACTGATCAAATTTTAAATAATACCATTGTTACTATAATGGTTTGAAGACCCCCACCATGAAAAATGCATTAAACATGATTATACAACTTACATTATCTGCTGTAAATAATGTTTCAACATAATATGCACCGCATAGTAAAAAATTCATGGCGGCGCCATGGGCAAAGCACGTAAAATGCGCGCGGCAGTCAACGTGTTAAGTAGAGTCTGAAGAATATCTTTAAGAGAAAGTATAACAAAATATTGCTTTTTAGCTTAAAAATTTGTGAAGTACGAAGTCGTGTTTTCCACATTTTTGAAAAATTGTTATCTACTAACCTTGTCTCTCCTAACCAAAAACATATAAGATAGACTGCAATTCACCGTATAAGGTCACACCTGAGTGTTTGTTAGTAAACTCCTTGACCCTTATCGTCAAGGAGAATGTCTCACGGCGGCCATCTTGCTTGTTTACGTCAGCGTCTGTCTCACGCATGCACCTTCGAAAATTCGACTTTATTCAGTATAGAGTAGTTATTGCTGTCTAAAGCGACCAGAGCACCTTATAGTGAAGTCCACTGATGGGTGCTGTACTCGTAAGAACTTTATTTTCGCAATATGCGAGCGTCAAAGTCGAATCTGCCAAATCGCCTCGTCTCCTTCGCACATCGCATTGGTGTAAGAGAGATGAGTCGAGTTTTGCAGATTCGAATTTTCGAAGATGCATGAGTGAGACAGACGCTCATCTATGCAAACAAGATGGCCGCCGCAGGACACTCGCTTTAAGGGTCTTGTGATACAAAATACCCATGTGCGAGTTTAATGACCTTATGCGGTGGCTTGCAGAAGTTTAACGACATTTGATTATCTCATGTATTTTTAGTTAGGAGAGACAAGGGTAGTACATAAATATCCACTATCTGTCTCTGTAGATATACATGTATACCTTAGGGTATTGTTGCCAACGCAATTAACGAATTAATTTCATTTTAAAAAATTAATGTTCATTTAATATTCATTTCATTAAAATCGTTTCATTTAGAAATTAAAATCGTTTTGTTTAAAAGTTAAAATCGTTTGTTTAATAATTAAAATCTTTTCGTTTGAAATTCTTGAATCGGACGGCTGAACCGATTGGAGGGGGGAGCGTGAACGCGACGGTAAGAGTCGAGAACGGTAGTCTTGATAAGGACGCCGAGCGGTGAGGAGCAGGTATCGAAGAATGGGAAGGTCGGATACGACCGATCCGAGTCGCTCGTGTTTACCTACTTTTCTTTTCATATCTATTTAATTTTACGTTATTGTAGACGGTCCCTGGCTACTTGGACTCGTACGGAAAATTAATTTTTTATTTTATTAATTTTTGGTACTCGGTTCTCGTGCACCTAACTCTGCTGCGTAACCATTGGATCCTGGCTGATTGATCTAATGGCACGCAGTTATGTTTTGAGGTGAACCTCGCAACTGGTGCCCTGCGAGGTCGAGAACCTGAGTAAACTCGATGGCAAGAGTTATGGTTTTGTAGCGCGGTATCAGTTAATTTTTCGGAATAATATCCTTTTTATTTTGACATTGGTGTGAGTGCGACTCGGAACGGTTGTATTAGTGGCCCATTCATTCGAATTGGAAATCCGGTGCTGTAAACATACTTTATATAAGTTACGAATAAATTTCTTAATTACATTCAATAAAATGTGTTTTGCCATTGCCCTCCTGATCCCTGTCCCTTGCGCCCGTGGGTCGATCGTAA